TACATCAAATATAAATCATAAATGAATTGCTTTTGAACAACTGGTATTCTTCCATAGGAATTAATCAGTTGGGCAAAATTCCTGCCTTACTTGAATTCTTCTGTGGTGTTTAGCTACTTGATGAAATTACAAATATAATCAAGTTTCACGCAATGTTGAAAGAGGAAGAATACAAGTACAAAATTACAAAAATTCAATCGTTGCAATAACTGTTCCATTACCCTTTAACTTATATAAGAGTAATTCAAGGAAATTATATTCCAATTCACTAAACAAAAATTAATAAAAACCTCGCCAATCAGTTCAAAAAAATTATACACTCACAAACAACAAACATAAACAAAATAAAGTTCCAATCGTTCCTGTCTTAGATTCATCAGCGAAGATTTTAGGTTGAGTGGCTATTGAATGGAAAAAGTGAGCTTAGCTAATGATTAAGATTACAAAAGAAGGCTTAAGTGATTTTAATTTCATAATTACCCGCACTTATCGCAGAGATTAGCAAAATCGCCAGATCGCAAAGCCCAGCCTTTTCTCCACTCTATCGACGTGGAAGCGCCGCACAGTCCATTCATGCAGCTCTTTAACGCCATGCTCCAAATTAATCCCTACAATTTTAAAAACAAACATTAAAAAATCAAATCGGAAACAGTGAAAATCTCCTCTGCCAGCTAAAAAAGAAAAACATAAACAAATTCAAAATCGGTCAAACCAAGTGAGTAATCAATCTAAAAAGAGTACAAAAACCGAAAAAAACTTATGTAAAACAAAACTTCGGAAGAAAATAACAGGAGCTTCCGCGTCGCCGGCGTTGAATGTCGTTGCGGAAAAAGGAACGACGACTTTTTGTTATACTATTAGCGGACTATTTAAGACCTCGAGCTGACAAGGTTTGAAAAGAAACTATCGAAGAGAATCGAGAAACAGAGAGAGATGAAACGATGAGTTACGATGAGAGATGAGTTGAATCGGCGATGTGAGAGACCGCGAACAACTCATGTGCATGCAAAGCAAACAAAAACAAAGAGAGAGAGGGTTTGGTACTTAGCAAAAAATAAAAATGCATGCACGATGATACTTCAAGACTCGGCGAACTCCGTCCCCCACCTATTTTTTTTAACCATATTTTTTTCTGTTATAGTAAAATATTACTTATTTAATTATATTTTTATTTTATTTTATATTTTTATTAATATGAGATAAGTATGAAATAGTATTTGTTCAGAAAATACTCATACCTATGACATTGTTAGTATTCGAACTCAAGATCTAAAAAAAATAACAACAATATCTTTACTAATGAAGTTAATGAGATTTATGTTTGTCCTATTTTAGTTCTCTATTATTAAAAATAAAAATTATTGAAATAATATTTATTTTTATTTTTTAAATAATAACGTGACATTATCTTGTGATTCTATATTTATATCATTATTAATTTTTTTAATAATAAAGGATTAAAATGTAACATTAATATTATTTCGAAAAAAATAATTAAAAAATCAAAACAGAATTATAAGGATATGTGTGATTAAATACAAAGTTTACTCTGCTTTATAATAGTATTAAGTTATTTTTGTATTAAATTAATACCTATACCCGCTGCATGCTTGTTGTTGATACAATCTCCAAAGGAGAACCGTTTGATCAGATACGAGGCCCCGTTAAAGCCGTTGACAGTTTATCACGTTATTAGCAAGCGCGTCAAAAAAATTTTAATATATAATAAAATTAGAATTAGAAATTATGAAGCTTATAAAAAGTCAGTTTGTGGACAACACCGTAACGTGCGCCACTAAGCGCTTTCTCTATCCTAACGCATATTTTCGCATTCCAAATGAATTAGACACGAATTTCCTGAATCACTCTCCATTGTCCCTCTTTATTGCGCGTAAACCACGAAGGGTTGGGTGATTTTGTTTGGAGAAATTGGTCTTTTAAGAGTCCACGCCGTCTGTGCACACGTGTCAACTTTCACCGATTCATTGTTGATTTCTTACTTTTTTCGGTTTTTATTTATGATGTCATATTAATGATGTGCTGATGTTAGGTGACCTGGATGCCAGGTTACCCACCTACCCCGCTGAAAGGGAAACGCCAACTCACGCGCTAGTTAGATTAAAAAAGGTGGCGCCGGTGAGTGACACAGACGCGTTTGGGTGCGCGTAGTGTGGGATTGAAACCGGAAAACCAAGTTTGGGTCTTGTCCTAAAACAAGGGCTAGAGTTAAAAGAAACGTTGGGTGTAATTAATAGCGTTAATGATAATTGATTAGCAAGTAGTGACGGCCACGATTATCTTTCTTAAATCAAGCGCATGCTATTGCTTATCTTTATAAATATTACGAGTCATTCTTTTAAATAATGATTGTTAAATAATAATTATGAGTTTTAATGGATAAAGTACATAAATGATCCTACGATTATAGGATAATGTTTTGTGGAGTTATTTAACTATTAAAAGTTATAAAATAGACTCCTAACAATAAGGAGTTGTTTTGTTGAGTTCATCAACTATTAAAAGTTACAAAATTATTACCAAACTATTCATTATGTTTCAAACTCAGTGATTTTTGGTTAAAAAATTGACTACAATCTGAACTTGACGTTAACCTGCTAACTGGAATATTATAAAATACCACTCTTTTGCCGATGGACCATTTTGTAAGTTTTAATAGTCATGAGAGTCAATAAAGTAGCATCATATAGTTAATGAACCATTTGTGTACTTTACCCTTTTTAATTAATTTGGGGGTAATGACAATGTAGTATTTATTAAAAAAAAACTCTAAATTATTTGACAATTGAATGCTCGAACACTTTTATAAATGTCATGCTCGAACTCGAGACCTCTAAAGATAAGAATTAATGAAGTTATTTGGCTCGTACATAATAATAATGTTAATTGTTTATTATGATGTTATAAATGATTTATATTTCGTTAATATTATCATTTTAATATTTTAATGGTCATGAATTTAAATACTTAAGTATATATTAATCTTTAATTTATGATTAAGTTAAATATTTTTTTTGATAAATTTTAAATTTAATTCTAATATTGTTTAAGGGGAGAAAGGGACTCCAAGAGAAGGAAGTGGAGTACTCCTAGTGAATTTAGAACACATAACTTAAGAAGATATGAGGAAATAAAAATGAACAGTTTTACCACCCGATCAAATATGTTTACTAAGTTAAATATTATATAAAATAAAATAAAATGTTTCTAGAAATGATTAATTTGATGTAATCAGTTTTAAATAATATTTCTTTGCGAAAGGAAGGGATAATATTTATTTAGGAATTGATTATGGGATTGGAATCAATTAAAACTTTAAAATAACTTTGTTACCATTTCACTCGTGATTTGTTTGGTAATTTAAATAATCTAATTTAAAACTTTGGTCAAATTATTTTAATTAAATATTTTGATTAAAAATCTAATATTAAATTTTAGTTGGTGGATATAAATTTTGGCCAATTGTATAATCAAAGATGAATTAAGAGGGGAGCGAGTAGGGCGATCGCCCTTCTTAAAAATTTTAAATTTTATATATATTTTATAAATTCGCTTTCTCTTACGTAAAATATTGTGTCTGTCTATGTGTATAATTTGGCATAATATTTGGGCTATGGAATTGGATTAAGCCCAAGCACGAGTAACAACAAGAAAGAGGTTTGTTTTGTAGCCTTAAGCATCACCTAGGAAAAGCCCAATCCTTTTAAGAATTCCTCTTATCTTAAAGAGAACAAAACCAGTGAGTGTCGTCCACCTTGTAGATTTTTCCATTTTCTGACATCTTTCTCCCTTGTAGATTTTCCCGAACGGTCATGGCGGGAACTGCAACAATCAATGTCTCGTTACCTACTTCCATTTCAATCTTCTCCTCTTTAATTTCACTTAGATTTTCTTCAAGGCCACTGCTTCTTCCTAGCATTTTTCTCCAAAACCGCCTTCCCCTCCAAAATTTCTCGGTACTTTTGTTTCCCCCATTTTCTGTCTAAACTCAGCTTTTCTCAAAACACCCATTTTTTAACACTGCATTTTTAATTTGGTCGCATGGATTTACGCTTTGTCTAGAAACGATATCAAAGTGGGGATTAACCTTGAAGTTGATGGAGCTCCATGGCGAATTTTAGGTGTTTTTCTTTTTAATTTCTGTAATTGTCATTTGCTATACTGCTTGCTTTGGTTGTCTTGATTACCAGTAGTTTGACATTTATAAATTTTTTTATTTTTATTTGTTGTATCAGTGATTGTGATGTGAAATTTTTTGGCTCTTTGTAGAGTTTCTCCATGTTAAACCTGGAAAGGGGGCTGCATTCGTGAGGATCAAAATGCGCAATTATATAGCAGGAAACACTGTTGAGAAGACTTTCCAAGCCGAAAGTACGGTAAAATCATCTCTCCACGGTGCTCATACACCTTACACTCTGCACTTAATAGAATTTAGAGGACGAAACTTGATAACTGTGTTACTTGCAGAACAAGTTATTTCAGTTTTCAACATAATGTTCTTGTCCTGTGTCAAGTAGAAAGTAAGAATCTGTTGGACTGGGAAGGGTCCTTGTGTTTTGGTAGTATATTGGTTTTTGTTTTTGTTTTGTTTCAATTCAAATACAGAGCCTTTTAGCAATGCTTGTATGCCCTATAGAGGTTTTATCAGTTCTTTTGTCGTGCCTTCATATGAAAGCTTGACTTTTACAGATTGAGGAGGCAAATGTTTTCAAGGAAACCAAGCAATGGTTCCCATTTTGTCTTCATAGACCTTGGTATTTTTCAATATATTCATATACTTGTTAGATGCTATTGATAATTGAATTCCGTAGCTTATACCTATGTTAGCCCGTCCACAGAAAATTTGAGCAAGTGCCATATACTATCAATCTTCTGTGTAATCAGCGGTTAGCTTCCTCATTTTGACACTACCATTTTCTCTATTATCTTCAAATATTGTGTTGATATGCTTGTCGTATTTTTTCCCATGTTGGTCTTATAATGATATTTTAACTTCTGACAGAACACATTTGAAGAAACCCATCTCGATGAGGTAGATGTAGGAGACAAGATAAAGTGGTTGAAAGAGGGAATGGACTGCATTTTGCTCTTCTGGAATGGAAAGATACTTTATAATTTATATATGTTCATTTCTGTTTCCTGATATTGAAGTTTTTGATATATGCTCTTATTCATATGCCTGTATAGTGTATACTGCAAGTTGTGGCATCAAGCAATCAGTGGTCAAGATTAGCATGATGCTTATTCATCTGCATTTTGTAGGTTATTGATTTTGAGGTCCCCATTACGGTTCAGCTCACTGTCGTAGATGTTGATCCTGGCCTCAAAGGTGACACTGCTTCAGGTAATTGAATAAATTTTCTCTCCAAGTTCCGAACTAGACTTCGATGATCCATAACGTAATGAGATGGGAGGGGTGAGTAAGCCCTAATGCCGTCTTGAATAGGAAGTAATGTCGATATTTGCACTTGAAGAACTCTCTAATGTGCCATGAAACTTGAATATCGCTCCACCCATTTCCTTTTACAAGTTTACTTCAAAGAGAGCACAAGAAAAAGACTGCTGTTTTTTTCAGTCTTTTGTTTTGATTTTGTTGCAGCGCATCACTTTCGGTTTTCTTTCGACTAATTGCTTTGAAACAAGTGGATCCACCAAACCTGCAACTCTTGACACCGGCACAGTAATTAATGTTCCGCTATTTGTTAATACTGGTGATCAAATAATGGTGGATACAATCATACAAGAAGCGGGCAATAAATGAGCCGTGCATAACCTTTTCGCTAGGAGAATTCTTATAATTGACAATTGTTTTTGGATTCAATTCATTTGTTTTTATAAATTAACATTCAAGAACCCCTTTTGATAGTACTGGAAATGTAATCCTATTAATCATGATATGGTTCAACAGGCAGCATCTTTCTCCATGATACTGAGAATTTCACTGTCTTTACAGGGTCCTATCCAGTATTCTTACAAACCGGATTCAACCAGTTTCGATATCGAAACACAGAGCTGTCTATGCCAGACTTTGTTGTGAGAATATGGAAGGATGAACAAATGCTGGAGATTAACGATTAACTAATGTATTTGATTGGCAAAAGGAAGAACAATGATGGATAACAAAAACGAATGAAAGATCATATTTTTATTTCATCAGAAGCGTAGAGATCGACTAAAAGTACTGCAAGTGATGGGATTTTTAGCGTCAGCCAAATGATTCTTTCCAGCATTCCCTCTGCTTCCAATAATAGGTTTCAGCAGCTTCTTCAGGAACCAACTGAAACCATACAAGCCACGCCCTTTGCTCACCTGTGGCATCGCTTGTGGCCGAGCAGCTAACAACTGCAAGCACCGAGACCGATTAACGACACTCGACTCCGACAGGCTCCGACCCAATATAGCGTCTTTCAACTGCGCCTCAAAGGATGACCTCTCAAACCGGTCCAGCAGCGAGCTCTGGTCGTCTCCAAACTTTGTCACAACAGCTGATAATTCCTCCATGATTTTGTTTTCACTTGATAAACCCATTTTCATTTACTTGTCAAAACCATCAATCATCTAACACATCCTTACGCTGATCTCAGGCTTGTCAAATGCCGTAAAGAAGCAGAAACCATGTGGGGGGGGGATACAGAAAGGTGGTCGAAATTTCAAAGCTTTTTTGGCTGTAATTTAGGGGGGAAAACAGGAATCTAATTCCTACATTTCTTTTCCAATTGCAATGCTTTCTTTTTACATTCCTTAAATAGTAGACCATTAAATTTTGGAATTGAATTTGAATGGGGTATGGCGTAATTGCTTTGAGTCCCCATGAGAACTAAAGTCCCGCTTAAATTGTTCTAAATATAAATGAGCGGAGTTATTGGGGTTTCAGTTTCCTCACCTATCAGACTACTTTCCTTTTCATTGGAACTTCAAAATCTATATCATTAATTCTTATTCCCAATAAATCAATAAGTCCAATTTATTTAATTTGAACTCTAAAATTATTAAAAAAATATTGAAATTTAAAATTATTCGATAAAATTTCTCAGATAATTTGTTGAAAAAGATAGACTCATTTAAAAGTTTGGAAAAATTATTTGTTGAGATAAGATGTTTGTTACCGTGTCAATAGGCGCCTTTGAGAATATGTATAGACCACTTGATGTCTTCTAGATTGCTACTCAATTAGATTTGACATTATGACTGCATACAATTTGGGAAAGAGCTCGTGTCTTCCAGACGTCTTTCCAAAAATGTTAAGTGGTCCACGTGTCTTCCTACCAACATAGTAATGATCACCTTGTCTCAACAAATAATTTTCCAACACCCTCAATGAATCATTTTTTTTCCATCATATTATCTAAGAATTTTTTTCCAAATTATTCAAATTCATTTAAATTTAAAATAATTCAAATTCAAGTAATTTAAATTTAAAATAATTTAAATTTAAAATAATTTTAACATAACATAATTAATTTTAAATAAATCAAGAAGATAAACTCAAATTAACATAGTCATAAGTTGGCATGTGTCAAATCTCTCAACTTGATGAATGGCAAGTTGTATTTTATTTTATTTTTATTTTCCCTACCTCTTTTATAGTATTCAAATAATCTAAAAAATATTTTATTTAAAAAGTATTCATTAGGGATGTCAATGAGGCATGTTTCGCGGAGACCATGTAATCTCGTACCTAATTATCTGAGATAAGTTCAAGTTTTATTAGGAGTTAAATTCTCATTCTTCCCCTTTCTAAGTAAAATTTATAAAAAAAAAAAATCTAAATTAAACATGAAAAATTAATATTTTAAAGGTATATTAATAATCGATTGAATATTTAATGTACATTTTAAGAATATTATTAAGTATGAAAAATATATATTATTTTCAAAAATAAATGCTTTGATTTTATTCATTAGTAGGTAAACATTGTAATGATACAAAAGGGTCACCATACTTTGGTCTACATGAGCCCCAAGGAATGGCACGCTGGTTTGAGACCCTTCATATTTCATGGCATTGAGAATATAATTTGTGGACTCAATCAACTCATCCGCGTATTTCTCCACTCCAGAAATCTCCAAAACCATTCTCCTAACTCTCTTCTCTAGTGTTGATGCTAACTCAGTGAAAGAAACCAATGTTTCACTGCAAAATCCATAGCAGTACTTAATTAAAAAAAGAAGCAAATTCCATAATTTTTGCTGTCAAAAGAAAGGGTTATGCTCATATTCCGAACCTGAAACTTGTGTTTCCTTGAGGCCACAAGGTAGTAGTCAGGCCTGTTTCGATGTTTCCGGCATCAATGACAATGTTTTCATGCTGTCCAGATGCAACCCGGATATAGCCATGAGAGGGCTTGGCGGAAACATAGAGCTGTTTTGTTTGTAAAGGCAGGTCAAAGACTTCTTCCAGGGCTCTGAATACCGCCTTTCGTACCACCAGGACTCGGTTGAATGAAGCCTCGAAACAGTCGTACTCTTCCAGCGCTTCCTGAACACGGACTTTCGCCGAATCCCATTCGGGACTGCCTAGCTTCAGCTCTTGTTATGAGAAATAAATGACAGGGAGACTAAAATGAGTTTCTGAACTCATCTTTGCTTTTCTTTCTGTGATGTAGACAATATTGCAAGAGTTAGAATTATGAAATATTCAACTTTGACTTGACTATAACTATTTCAAGTACAGACAATTTTCTAAACCTTTTTAAAATGTAATGATTTTCTGCTCTTAATTTCTATTGGTTTTGCAACAATTTAATAGGCCAATCCTTCACAAAAATCTACCTAATCTTGATCGAATGTAAGATTCCTAAACATATACACCAAACAAACAAAGCCTATTGACATACAAATTTGTTCATAATGACACAAAGGGAAATTGACGGGGTCAAGATAATATTTGTTCAAATAACATTTTTAATCTTTTGATATTAAACGATCATATTTCTGATATTCTTAGTACTCGAACTCAAGACTTCAAAGAATAACAATAATTCCTTCATTATCAAAGTCTTTGAGATGTCCTGGATCATGGTTTCAAACTCCGTTGCCATCTCCTCTTTCTATTACGTTGGCTTTGCTCTCTCGTATATGAACTTGGCATTATCATACCACAACCGGTGATTTATTGTAATAACGTTAGAGCCAAGAGTCTTTTTGCTAATTTGGTGTTCCATTCACGCGTGAAACACGTTGTGCTAGACTATCATTTCATCCTTGATTTTATTTTTAAATATTTTAATTTTTAATTCTTTTTATATTTTTAATCATATTTATTGAAAATTTATTATGAAATTAAGAAAATTTTGAAAAGATGTTATTTATAATTACCTTTTACTCTTTTTAAAAATAATTTATTAATTAAATTCAATTCAATTAATATTAATATTATTATAATAGGTAAATGATACAAATAGTCTTAAGTATAAAGCGTTGCTTTATTGAGTCTATTGATTATTAAAAGTTATAAAATAATCATGATTATAGGGTATTGATTTGTCGAGTTCGTTGACTATTAAAAGTTACAGAAATGGTCAATCGATTATTCATATGTTATAAATATGTCCTTTTATTTTAAAAAAATTGACGACCGTCTAAGTTAGATGTTAATTTACTGACTGAAATATAATAAAATTTAATACAATAACCATTTGAGTTGTATATTTGTTTGAGATTCTGATATCATATTTTATAATATTACAGTTAGTAATTTAACTTCAAACTCATAAGATTATAATTTTTTAATAAAAATGACGAATTTAAAACATATAAATAATAAAATGATCACATTATAATTTTTAATAATAAAAAAACTCAATAAAATAAGAGAAAATAAACTCAGTGACCAAAAATCCCAGATAATATACGATTTTGATCAACTTTTTTTGAATTTACGAAAATCGTATATTATCTGAGATTTTTAATCACTAAAATTATTTTCTCATAAAATAATTACCAAACACAAAACAACCACCTTTAAAAAATGTTTAATGACTTATCGAGCGAACTCGATAATTTTTTTGGGCAAAGAACGACTGCTTAAGTTATCTCGTCGATCTATTGACTAAAATCAGAGATTCAAAATTTTTAGCGAATTCAAAAGGCTTACAAAAACAACGCAGCAATTCCAAAATTCCTATTGTTCCATTGCCACCTCAATCGTTATCATTATCGTCACCCATTACACTATTTATTCCTAAAACTGTAACCGCGCTGCATTTGCCGTCTTTTGAAGCTAAATTTTGCTCCTTTTTTTTATTCTGATTCATCGCTACTTGATTAATTACTGTTTACTTCTTTTCGGGGGTTGCTAATTTTGCTCGGAGGTGTGTTTTTCAAAAGGAGCTACTGATTCTATGAATCTCATGTCCGCCGCCTAAACTAGTTTTGTCGATTTCCAGATCTTAGTCTTACAAACAAACAAACCCAAAAGAAAATTATTATTTAGAGTGAGATGGATAGAAATGCAATTATGACTGCGATTTTGTTGTTTCTAATCGTCGCCGATGTTGCCGATGCTTCTCCGATTTGGAAGATTCGGTTCTTAGCCGATGAATCTCCAACAAAGAACGACACGACCGCCGCAACGCCGCCAGTAATTTCTCTTTCCTTTTCCCTATCTATCTCAATCATTTATTTTAGTTACTGTTGTCTTTTTTTCTTCTTCTAGAATTTAGTATTTAACGAAAATTAATTATTGTTGAGATTTTGGATTTCTCAGCCGCCAACCAAGAAATTGGACCCTAAATCGGAGAGTCAATCGAAATTGGATCCGAATCCGGATTCCGCAAATCAACCTCCAGTTGACAAGAAGGATCCTAAACTATCAGATAAATCGGGGAAAGTGATTCCACCTCCTCCTCAAAAGGGAATAGATAGTGGAACCAATTCGAGTTCAACTTCAAATTCGACTAACCATAAAACAATGGAGGATAATGAGGATAAGAAAAATTATGCAAGTATTGGAAACAATTCGAGTTCAACTTCAAATTCCACTAGTGGTAAAAATACTTGACTGCCTGCATTAAGGTTTTCAAACTGATAATTCACATTGCTTTTGAAGCCTTCTCTAATTGCTTATTAGAGTGGTAGGGTGGAATTCTAAGAAATAGAAAGCGATTTAATGCTTACATAGAATTTAACAATGAGCTAATGGTATCGTGCTGTTGCCTTTAGTTGAGAAATGGCATGCATACATCCATTACTGAAGTGGAATTGAGTATGCTTTAGCTGCCGTGTAGAGTAATTTTGTGGACTGAAACTTTATATTTATATCTGTTCTTATTCTGCAAATTAGAGCATAAATGTGCCTAGGCTTGTTGCATTTTTGGAACATGTTTGAAAAATAGGGTTATGAACTGTTCCATGACTGTTTAGCGATACATGGGCATGGATACAGCCATACAGGGCTAGGGGTGTCTATTTACAAATGTTAGATCTGCTGTATTAAATTAAAAGAAATCTGGGAAAAGTTGGATGTTTCTTTATGGTGCTAGATTAAGGTTGGATGAAGAAGTTCAGCACAATGAACAAATTTATGGATGATAGCTAGCTTCCTTTTAGTTGTTGCCTTACATGGAAATATAAATAATGGGAATTTGATTGTTAGGTAGATATTTTCACTGACTAAATTATTAGGAATATTATAGAAGGTTAATGGTTAGGAATGTCACATTGATGTATTTGGTTAACAATATAGATAGTGCAGTTCTAGGGTTAATTTCAAGCAATATCCTTTAGTTGATTGAAAATACATTTTGAAAGAAACAATGGACAAGTCCATGTGAAGGCACCTTAACTATAATCCAGTAGTACAATTAGCATAACCTTTTTTAGCCAAGTATAATCAAATTATAATCTTCATTCTGTGTGGGTGTATGCAAGGTGACAGAAAATTTTCTATACATTTCAAATGCCTTGAACGCAATTTCCTAATCACTGAGTGGTTTTATTTGAACAATAATTTGGGGATAGAATGACAAGTTATTTTGTTTGTTTTTATGTTATGCTATGTTTTTGCTCCTGTGTTAAGGAATAATGTATCTCAGTTTAGATGTTAATTTAAACTGTGCAAATACTAAGCAGTATTTATTTATTGTTTAATCAGCTTGATTCCCATTCAGTTTCTTTCCTAATTGTACAAAATGAGAAATACAGTGAACTTGTGTTGCTGCTTGTTAATATAGAATTCATATAGTAGCATAGTGGTATAATTCCTGATGACTAGCAATATGTTTGATTTCCTTTTTCCTTTCCAGGGTCCAAACAACGGGTTGTTCTGGTCCATAATAGTGGAGGAAAAGTTTAAAAGTCAATGTTGCTGGTCCCTCTGGGGAATCTCTTGCGAAGGGACTTAAAGTACCAAAACATGGAACTCAAAGGTATGGTCTTTTCTTTATCTTCTGCTTTGTCATTTTTTCTCATACAATAGGGGACATAATAAGATCTAGTTATGTAGGAATAAGATCATAACAAAAATTTGAAGTTGGGGTTAAGCCAGTGGCTATTTAAACAAAGCAGTTCTCAGCTAGCTTTCAATTCATTGATTCTACTGAACTGTTAAATTAGGCATGAAATGTGTCGATTGAATACTTTTAGGAAGAAGACTTGCATAGCAGTTTCCCTCCTCCCTTGGACTTAACTTTAAAATGTACTTTGTAGTGACAAAAGTTGTTTATCTTTAATCTGCCTAAATTTGTGGACATTTAATAAATCATTGCGGAGCTAAGTTAATAAAGAAAAGGGGAAAGTATGAACTTTTACTTTGCCTATATTGGTTGACATCTTTGGGCGCATAGTGTACTTTGAAGGATTGATCGATTGTATACCAAGATAAAAATAACAACAAAACCCTAACTTAACCAACAAAACTTTCTCAACCGGTATGGATTAATATCACTTAATACCTTTATTAATAGGCATAATACTAATAGCGGATCACGGACTTCTTTTTGAACAATGCATAAGCGGAAATTCAGCAAACAACATAACATATCTGTCAGTAAGTACAACTTTGGATCGAAGTCTGTGTTAATCGAGTGGTCAAACATGAATGTAAAAGTACATCAAATCCAAAGTTGAATATTAGATAACAGTACCTGACAGGCCTTTATATTGGGATGATGGTTTACTATTTTTTAAAGTAACTTCAGTTCATAGGGGATGAAGATAAACACTGACCCTGAACAATCCAAAGCCCGTGTACTTATTTGTATCTAGAGTTGTGCATTTGCTTAACCGCTTTCAGGCCAATGTCCCTTTGACTATTAGTGAGACCGGTGAGCTATTATTAAGTGCTGGAAATGGAGATTGTGTGCTACGCATGAACCCTCTTGCATCCGAAGGGAACCCTTTCTTAAACCTTCCTTCTTATGACAAGTTGATGACACCAATAAATGGAGCATACTTCTTGATTGCAACAGTTTTAGTTTTCGTAGGGTCATGGGCTTGTTGCGTGTTTAGGAAGAAGAGACGGCATGATGGTATACCTTACCAAGAGCTAGAAATGGATTACCAGAATCCATGGCAGCTACTGAAGTAGAAACAGCTGAAGGCTGGGACCAGGGTTGGGACAGTGATTGGGATGAGGACAATGCAGGGAAACCACCAATGGGACGACGCAATGTACCAAATATCTCAGCAAATGGCCTCACTACTAGATCGTCAAACAGAGATGGCTGGGAAAATGACTGGGATGATTAAACCTTTTCACCCCAAAAACAGAGAGAGAGGTAAGAAAGTCCATCAGTCAAAGTCATAGGAGAGAAGGAAAGGAATAGATAATACAAAGAACTGGCGACACGATATAGAAACTGTAAATTGGTCCACAGTTGCTGACATTACCGATCATCATGGTATCGGAAGACCTCCAAAGAGCCTATTTTTTCTGCCATTTTATCAGTGGTGATGGTGGTGTTGGAGCTTACTAATGAAGTTTCATGTTTTGGTTGTAGAGTAATCATTTATTTGGTATTTGAGCTTAACAAGTATTGAAGTTGATCTCCAGAGAGTCAGACTATTATATTGGAAGACAACACAGTTACTGTTGTTCAAT